ATACATACGGATGAGGGTCTCCCATACGCCGCCCACGACGGCCTCCAACATGGTCGCCGGAGGGAACTTTCCCAAATGGGTACTTACCCGCCTGGACTATGAGCTTGCAGAGGAAGCAGCCATGGTCCAGGCGTGGTACTCCCCCCCACCGGCCGCCGTCGACGTGGAGCAGAGGGCGGTCAAGTTCAGGGAAGACTTGACCGCCGTCTGCGAGAGGGCCTTGCCCAGGGCAAGAGGGGCCCCGGGAAAAAAGAGTGTGTACTGGTGGACCGCGGATATTGGGGACCTCCGCACCGCCAGTACCACGGCCCGGCGTGCCTATGGCCGATGAAGCCGCAGGCGTCACACCCGGAGTGAGGAGAGAAGGCTGCACAGCGCCCTTCAGGGCGCGAGGCAGGCCCTGAAGGTCCCGATAGGACCTGTAACGGCCTGCATCTTAACACGCTTTACATAATATTTTAGGATATATTACTCCAGGACATTCCTGGGCCCATAACCTGTTGGAATAATAAGCAGAATACGCTTTGAATACACGTCCTTTATATACAAATTAACCATTAAAGAAAAAACAACCACATTCGAATACAAGACAGCTAGTGTAACCCCAGTATTATATATTAGTCTATGGTGTAACCAACAACTCGTTACTAGGCAACCTAAACTATAGATAACTTAGTTTGTTGACATATAGGATTAACACCACAAGTTTAAAAAAAAAAAAGGTTCGCTTTGGACCTTTTGGAGGGAAAAGTGTCGTTTTTATTTTGACTTTCAATTATTTTGTGAAATCTAGTTTAAAGTGGAATAGGATAGTGCTATTGTGCCTTAATCGAAGATTAAAACGCGAAATTATACGAATCTCGAACGAAAATACCCGTTTCGGCCCGTTTTAAGGAATCCCGAGTGAATTCAAGCACGCCGCCTCAAATTGCCTGGCGGCCATGTTTACAGAAACATAATTAAACGAAGACATGGCTCAAAGGACTTGTATCTAAGCCAAAATTATTAATAAAAAAAACCAGGAGTTTAAAAACAACCAAGAAAACAACCTTCTTAAATTGTACAAAACCCCTGAAAACATCCCGCTTTCTTTACCAGATCTCCTGAGAAAATCAAGATTGTTATCCAATTTTATATCATTTCGGATTATCATTTAAGAATCACTATGGAAGACATTTAATTTTTGTAATGGAATTCAAGAAAGTGATTACCTTAGTCTTGGCTGTATGGCGCATTCGTGCCTTTGCCTTTTCCAATGGAAAAAACAGTACCAAAAAAAAAATGTAACCGCGAAAAGAAAAGCCAAGAGTATCAAGAGATTGAGATTACAAGAAAAAATGAAATACGTATTATATACTCAGTCAGTTATTTAAATATTACCTAATACCATAAGAAAATAAACAATTGAATTTAGTTCAGTGTTTCAATTATGTAAGTATACCGCTGAAAACTTAAATTATACTTGTATAAACATTGTTAGAGGTTAAGTTGAATTACGGCCGCAAAGGAGCGAAGATGTAGGTATTACGACATGTATCTACTAAAAAACGCTTGAGCAGGAGTGGGCGTGCGGCAATGGCAGGCGGGCCGACCTTAGTGCAGCGCGCTGTTGACCTCAACTACTGGAGCCGCAAGCGCGCCACTGGTCTGCGATGGAGCGCGGTTAATGCCGCTGCGCTGTTGGTGCTGGCTTACGACCTGTGAGTTGCGACCTGAGAATTGGGCGATTGCCTTCATGGCGCTATGTAGTGACGCGAAGCCTGCCGCAGGTCGTGCAAGTGCCCGGGCTACACGTCGCCGCTGCACTACGTGGAGATGTTCATGGCGGCGGTGGCGTGCGCCAATCTGCTGCAGTACGCGCTGCAGCTACTACCGCGAGCCTGCACTGCCGCGCCCCTACTTTCCGTCACACCTGCGCAGCGCCAGCTGCTTGGGCTAAGTGATTCTGATCTTGGTGAGTCAGTATTTTATTGCATTTTTATTGAAAGAAGAGAAAAATTACATTATATTTAATTATTACACGTGGTATTAAACAATGCATTGTTCCTGCTTATATAGTATATCAAACAGTCCACACAATTTGCTGCTTTGAGATATACTCATTTACAAAAAAATGGGCACCTTTGATTTTTTTCTCTCTGAAATAATTAGATAGATAGATAGATAGAATCTTTATTCACCACCATGATAGTGTGGTAATAGTATCTCTCTTGGAAGCCATGGCAATGAAAAGGCGCTGACTCAACATAAATGATGCGGCTGCCTGCGACGCTGGTATTCTGCCAGGACCCTATAGGGACAGGGACATCAGTCATAAAAACCCAAACCTTTTTTTTTTTTGTTAATCCGGGGGAATCTGCTTACAGATACCCCGGCCCCCGCGGGGGCAGAGCCGGGGTTATGTGGGACTGGGCTGAACCCTGAAGGGGAGCAGCCCGACCGCACTAAACCCCCGGAGTGTTCCTCCTCTAAACCAATTTAATTCAATTTAAATTCTAACCAATTCAATTCAATCCAGTTCAATTGAACTCAATTCAATTTAATTTAATTGCATTCAATTTATTTATTTATTTATTTATTTTTTCTCAAACAGCTTAGCCACTCATATTTCCAATTTTTGTATATTTAAAAGATACTCTTTCAGCTTCTGCTTGAAAGTTCTTTTTGTGAAATTGTTATGGATAGGAGGAGGAATATTGTTCCAACTACGAGTGGCTAAGTATCCGAAACTCCCTCTAAATGCAGCGGTACTATGCCGGGGGGTTATAAGCAGAAACAACCTTGTCGACCTTGCTCCAAAGCAAGAGTTTACCATGGATGACCAAACGAATTTCTCATACAAATAATAAGGTACGCGAGACTGAACAACATCAAACAACAATCCAGCCACATGCAATTTAAGGCGCCCACCCATCGTAAGCATGTCAGTCACTTATTTAGAAAAGGTGTCACGTGACTTTGAGGTGGTATTGAAAAACAGAAACGTGCACATCCATTTTGCACTCGTTGCAGTAGTCTATGCGTTCTTGCCAAAAGACACGGACCAAAGGCAGTGATACAGTAATTAAGTTTGGAGAGTATGAGAGATTCGTATAAGTGAATAAGTCCAAGTAAGTAAGTAAGTAAGTAAGTAAGTCCAGACTCAAGAAGCTACGAATGTTATAAATGATCTGTAACCTAAAAAGGCAGTTCTGCACTACTTTGGCTACGTGCTGCTCATAGCGCAATCAACTGTCCATAATGACACCCAAATTCTGAACCTCCGACACCAACTCAATACATCTACCCAAAACTTTTGAACTAACATTTTTCAAATAAGATTTAATATGTTGTTCAAATGATATTGCTGGAAAAAGTGATGAGATATCAAGTCGAAATCTTCAAAATATACGTGAAAGTTTTACTTATTCCAATTATTAAGTGATTGCTTTAGAATTTTAACCAAACCAGTCTGTTTACTTTCCTGGCATTATGGATTGGAACAGACTTTACATGACACCATTACAATTATTTTAAAACCCAACTTCAACTTCCTAGGTCAGTAGTTTGTCCTACGTGCAGTAAAACCATTTCCGGAAATCCGGAATTCGAAAAAATAATTAAGTAATATTGGGTGGTTTTAACAACTCTGTCACTCCTTTTAGCTATGTCTATACATGTATCTATATATGTGGAACGCCATTTTCCGACCTATGATTATGACCCTCTGTGCAGCAGTTGATTGCAAAAATACGGGAATACATTTATTACTCAAAGAACCGAAAAGAAGAAGAAAACTGTGGGAAAAAGATCTTCGAAGGAAAAATTTTGAGGCTACTAATTCGTTTAGGTTATATGCATCTCAATTTCAACCTGAAGATAGGTTAGGCTGAAATTTTGTAAAACAAATATCATGTACCTATTCCGTTTCATTCCTGGCACTGCTATCATTAGCATTATTATACTAGTATATCTAACTAGTATATAGTTATCATTTATTAATTTATTTTTATCTGTTTTAGGTGATGAACCTATACACAAAGTATTGAAGTAATACTGCTGTGCCCTCTGTATTTTCTTTTTCTAAAGTCAAACCAGTCAACTTATTAGCACAACGACCAACATTCAGATAGAATGCTAAAGAGGAGTTACAAGAAACTTTGTTTTGAAACCTATAGTAAAACTTAATCTATTAGATTTGCGGGAAATTCCTGCGGAAACTGACCAACCATAAACAATTTTTCTTTCTTAATAGAATAGAAAACATTTATTTGCCAGAATACAGTAATGATAAAGGTCTTAAATAAAATTAGTTACATTGTATTTAACCTGCAAGCAGATGTACAAATATTGATTTCGTGTACGGTTTCTACTGTTAATTGCACTTCAAATTAATGTAAATTTTTATTTGGAAATTCTAAGATTCTTTATTATTAAAGAAGCAATGTGTTAAAAGCCATTTTGTCAATTGTAATTTAAAAGTATGTCCTTGTAACAATTTAATTTCACTTGGCAGATTCTTGTAAATAATTAATTATACACATGTTGAAGCAGTTTTTCTTATAAATTACTTTATGGCAACGAGGTTGATACAAAAGATTCATAATTTTTACTTTAGTCTGCCTTTCATTAACTTCACCACGTGTTTGGAAATATTGAGGATAAGTTTTGACAAATACACAGATATCCCTAATGTACATGTATGGCAAAGGCAGTATGTTTAGTTTTTTGAACAGCGGTTTACAGCTGTTGTCGAACCACGCACCGAACCTTAAACGCACTTTCTACGACTACTGAATTGCCCCACAGTATAAGACCGTATCTAAGCACAGACGAAACGTAGCTGTGATACGCCGTCAATGCTGCTTCTCGAGAGACAGTTTGCCTTAATCTTCGTAGAGCGTAAACAAATCTATTTAGCTTCATACAAATCTGCTCGATATGTTCTTTCCAGCATAGGTGCGTGTCAATTGTTAATCCAAGAAATTTAAATGTGTCAACTTCGTCTACGGTGGCAGCATTGTATTGAATTGTAATTGGTATAGGATTTGAATTGTACGATCGAAATGTCATAATCTTAGTTTTACTTAGATTAATATTTATTTAAGTCATTCAAGTTCATCAAATGTATTATATCTGTCAATGCTTTGTTTATGTCGGTGTTAAATGTCGTTTTCTTATATATTTTATCTTCATATTTTATCATAATTGTTGTATCGTCAGCAAATTGTATACATTTGTGGTTAGTTGCATGTGGGAGGTCGTTAATGAATAGGATCAACAGAAATGGACCTAGCTCGCTACCTTGGGGAATTCCAGCATTAGTCGTTTTAATATTTGATCTAAAGGTTTGTTTTTCAAAGAAATTGTTGTATTTGTTTCTTATAATTCCATTTATTTCTGTATTGAGTTCTATTTTTTGAGTAGCTCTCTAACCACGTCAATTAATGTCACAGACTTTTATTATTTTTGTGGGGAGCTTATTTTTCTTTAATGTACGCTCATTTTATTCTTAAAAAACCGAAAGTAGCCTAATAGGCACCAGTCGCCTTTCAGATTTTTTCGTCGCTGATTTTCGTTCAACATTCGATCATGCTTAAAATGAAACGTACCTAGAAGGACGTTAACTAATCTGTGGTCGAACTGAAGCAATTGCGTTGTGTTTTTGAATTTATTCTAAAATAAATTGTTTTACAATTTCTTTATTCCCGACTTCTAAAAATACACAAAAATATGTTGATAACTACACATAAGCTAAAACGTAAAATTACTATCTTTTCTTCAGCTTTCGCCATCCTTCTTTATTTGTAATTACGTTCTTGCCACCAAGGAATTTATATCTCAATTGTCCACTTCATTTTTCAATCACTTATTCGATCCAGTCTTTGTTTTCTTGTTACCGAGACCCTCACTTTCGTAAAAAAATTATTGCAATATAGATTATTGGTTAAATGCAAGTTTTGACATTACACTAGGAATAATGGCGAATAGGTATAGCGCCACTAAACTTTAGAAATGTGTTAACTAAATTGACTACATACCTCAAAAATATTTTTGATACGTGGCGGGCCTATAATAATAATCATATATTTCGGAACTGGTCCATAAATTGTTAGTAAATTACAAAATGCTTAGGTCTAAGGATTAGTTATTTGTGCAATACGTAAGGACAGCAATAACAAGACGGCTGGTAGTTAACTACCTGGTATTTTAGGTTTTCATTTTTCCCCCGTGCTATTTATAATCCTACCCATTGTCTATTGTACTTGACGGGTATACGTGTGGCGCACTATAGTTTAGTTACTAGAATAAAAAAAAAATACTATAAATGGTCAGAAATAAATTTATTGTTTCTCAAAATATTCTCCGTTAGCGTTAATGCAGTTTGTCATACGAATGAACCAATTTTGATAACACGTATACCACTACTTAAAACAAAGGGTAGTCAACTATTGCGATCCAGGAGCTACTTTTAGTCAAATTATTACACTGTTAAGTGGTTGCAACTTTGATAAATATACAACAGTGATTCTTATAACAGGTGATAGTAATACATTAGCAAAAAAGAAGTAAATAGTAGCATTGACGTGTTCTTGAGAATTCATGAGAAGTGTGGGTGTAAATTCATACTAAGTGCATTCCCTTACTGCTCTAACCTAGGTATCGCTCGTAATAAGTATATACATAACACAAATTCGCACATTCATAATTTGACTTGCCGTCATAGTGACGTTATATTTTGTTTTGATATTAATAAGTTCGTCAGGAACTTCAAACTTTTTGAAGATAATTTATAATTTTAATAGTTTTATTGCAATAGGTTCTTTGAATTTTCATAGAATCTTCATGGTTTGAGGTTTTCGAATAAAACTTTTTTCAAATGGTTTCTGTGATTTTTTTTTTAATTTGAAACATTTGAATATCGACTTTCAATTGTTTTTGTTATTCAATTTAGACAAGAAAGATGGATACTGCGAAAATTCGAGTGATTTTTGAATACGAGTTCCGACGCGTAACTAACGCGGCAGAAACAGCCCGCAATACCAATGCTGCGTTTGGAGAGGGGTCTACTAATTTTATTTATTTTATTTATTTATTTATTATATCAGACAAATAAATCCATTGGTTGTTAGTACACTTACAAAATAAAACTTAAGCTATGGGTTAGTAAAAATCGTCAAATTGTTTTCCTGTCAAACTGTAATCCTTCATTCGCATCCCGATCCACCAGTCTTACAAGACTACTAGATCAGGACCCGAATGAAGGATTTCATGATGGGCAGGTCATACCTATCCGGTATGACCTGTAGAATGGTGTTGGTGCTGCCCCGCAGCCTGCAGAGCAAGGATGCCGTTTTTTTGCGGATGATGGCTTCAAAGCCATCAACCCGCGCCTCAGCAAACATGGTCGATGCACTGCAGCAGCGAGGCAGCCCCAACAACATCCTGAACCCATTATTATATTGGACACGTAGGGCATTGAGCGATTTTTTAGTACAGCTGAACCACAGGCTGCTCGTGTAGAATGTTTGGCAGTAGGCTTTGAAAAGCGTGATTTTCGCTTGCCTACTGCACCGAGCAAACCTGCGTGCCAGCATGTTACTTCTCATCGCCAATGCCCTACGTTCCCTCTCTATATCGGCTTGGTCTTCAAGGTCGTCGGTAAGACAGTGCCCTAGGTACTTAAACTGATAAACGCGATCCAGATTGACACCATTTAACCTGATCACTGGGACCGATTCAGGTGTCATACCGGCGGCCTTGAAGACCATGAACACACTCTTTTTACAATTATACAGCAGCCCATGTTCACTAGCGTACCTCTGACAGATAGCCAGCAGCCTCCTGAGAGCTCCGACTGAAGGGCACAGCAGCGACATATCGTCTGCGTAACTGATATTGTTTATATAAACAGTATCAATCGTACAGCCGACACGCTCACTGCTGAGCCCCACAATCAGATCATTTATATACAGGTTGAAAAGTTTTGGGGAGCTCAATCCACCTTGTCTCACACCACATTCCAACCTGTAGTCACCAGAGAGACTGCCAGCCCACTTTACATTGTTCAGTTGATTGGCATACCAGTATTTGAAGAGACGCTGCACCTGTGCATGCACACCTGTATCCGCCAGTTTTTCCCACAACTTGTCATATGACACAAGGTCAAAAGCCCTGGAAAGATCCAGGAAACAAGCATACACAGGTGTACGTCTCTGTGTGTAGTACTGCACAGTGTGCTTCAAACTCAGAATTGCAGTTTCTGTAGATAGACACTGCCGGAAACCAAACTGAGCATCGTGGATGTTTAGGTGCTTGTCCAATTCAGAGTCAAGCACACTGTCCAGCACCTTAGCTACTATTGTAGCCAGTGAAATGGGCCTGTAATTACACTTATCTGATAAGTCCCCAGTTTTGTCTTTCAAAATCGGCACAACAACCGTTCTCATCAGATCCGGAGGCAAGTAGGAATGAGCAAAACATAAGTTGAAAAATATTGAGAGAACCCGTTAATGAACGCACCGTGCGATTTTGGTTTAAACGCTTTTGTGATGGAAATTTCGACTTAAAGAACGAGCCACGAGGAAGACCGCCCACACAGGTGAATAACGATGAATTAAGAGAGATAGTGGAAGCCGATCCTAGTCAAACTACCCAGGAATTAGCGGCATGGTTTAACGTTACCTTACCCACAATATTGACTCACTTGCGTCAAATCAATAAAATAAAAAAATACGAAAAATGGCTGCCTCATGATTTGACTGATCTGCAGAAAGAAACGCGTGTTGAAACTTGTGTTGCCTTGTTGAACCGGTACAGAAATGAAGGAATATTGGATCGAATTGTAACATGTGATGAAAAGTGGATTCTTTATGATAACCGGAAAAGAAAAATGGAATGGCTGACCCCAGGTCAAATGCCACAACAGTGTCCTAAAACAAAACTTACCAATAAAAAGGTAATGGTAACTGTTTGGTGGTCTCAGCATGGTGTAATTCACTATAGTTTTCTCCGATCTGGTCAAGCAATAACGGCAGATGTCTATTGTGCCGAACTCCGAACCATGTTGACAAAAGTAGCAGTAAAACAGCACCGACTCATGAATCGATCTTCACCATTATTGCTCCACGACAACGCGAGACCTCACACAGCACGAGAAACCATTTTGACCCTTCAGGAACTGCAGTTAGAAACCATTCGTCATCCTCCGTATTCATCAGACCTTGCTACAACGGACTACCATTTTTTTCGTGATTTGGACAATTATCTACGTGACAAGAAGTTTTCTTCCCAGGAGGCAGTACAAAATGCTTTCACACAGTTTGTGCAGTCTAGATCGTCGGAGTTCTATCGCAAAGGCATTAATAACCTTCCCATTAGATGGCAACAATGTATAGATAATAATGGCAACTATTTTGATTAAATAAATTTGTTAAAATTTTAAAAAATAAACAATTTAGATTTTCAGTACAAATCGGCAATTTCATACTTTAACCCCTATTATTAAGGATGCTGTTATAGAAAATATAACACAGTCCCACGACAATGCTCCTACTTTAAGTAGCAACAGTATACTTTTTACTAACCATAATTTAAACTAAAAAACACAACAACAGAAAAGTCTAATCGTTTTCATGTACTTAGTACATCAAAATATTCAAGGTTTTTCTGGCAAAACATTAGAAATAAGTCTTTTTTTGCACGATATTTCCGTTGACGTGTTTTGTGTTACAGAACACTGGCTGAAAGACTACGAAGCAATTAACAACATAGAAAATCATGTAATAGTCAGTTCGTTCATAAGAAAGAGCTTAAGTAGAGGCGGATCCATGATTATTATTAAACGTAACTTAAAATTTAAAGAGCGTAAGGATATCACAGATCTTTCTACTGAACGAACTATTGAGATTTCATGTGTGGAATTGGATCAGTTTGTCGTCTTATGTGTATACAGGCCCCCTTCTGCTAATTTTAACGAGTGTAGCTGCGCATACGACGTGCCATCGCAGCGCTCTGGCCGCACTGAATAGGAACGCGACGTGTCCGCATATTTTTGTATACAAGCGTTACTCAGCAGCGCCACCGCGCCGCCACGGCACCACTGTCGATGCATGTCGTTGACTAGTCAGAGTATGTACTATATGCGATTAGATATAAGGTACTTCTGTAGGGTAATAAACATGAAATATACGCAGTCATCAAATCAACCAACTCGGACTTTTCCTGCTTACCTGCTCAGCTCCCCTAAACTGGTGACCCCGACGTGATCAGCAGCTCCAACGTGAAAACCAAGAAACGACGATGACCGAAGTTGGAAGCATTTCACTGCCCCTCCGCGTACCACCGTTTTGGCGCGACCGCCCCAGGCTATGGTTCGCCAGCTTCGAAGCGGCAACCCACGACCTCAAGAAGAGCCAAGCACAATTGTCGCAAATGGTCATCGCTCAGCTGGACAAACAAGACATTGAACAAGTGTCAGACCTACTTTTCGACCCACCAAAAGAGGACCCGTACAAAGCGCTAAAGGCACGCCATATCTCCGTATACGAAGAGAGCGAGGAGCGTCAATTCCAGAAGCTCCTGTCAGAAATGGAATTAGGCGACCAACGACCTACACAATTACTTCGCCGTATGCGTAACCTGCCACGCGATAAGGTCCCCGATCCCACGTTGCGAATTATGTGGATGAATCACCTTCCGCCGCACATACGCTCTGTTCTAGTAGTAAGCGACACTATCAGCAAGACCGCAGCGCTCGACGAACTGGCATTACTTGCAGACAAAATGCTTGAACAGCAAAGAGAGATCTCCGTCGTGTCCACATCATCATCACCAACAACACTGGCATCCTCATCTAAGCACCAAAAAACAGAATATCAATTTCTAGTCGAGGAAATAAAGAAATTATCATTTGAAGTCGCTGAGTTAAAATCATCGGCACAACACGACTTCCGCGAGCGCCCGCCAGCGTCGCATTACGACCGGTTTCGCCCTCGCAGGCGATACACAGCGCGAAGGAGAGATACTACGCCACCGTCCCGCTCTCACTCACGGGGCCAGAGTTTGTCACCATCGCCGTACTGCTATTATCACAAGCGTTTTGGAAGCGATGCGCGAAGGTGTACACTGCCGTGCACGTACTCCCGTGATGACAAAAGGATGACGGAAAACTAAACCATACGCTGGCTGCGGCGGAATCCAGCGTATCAGGCAAATCCTACCGCTTATTCATCACGGACAAGAAGTCCAAACTCACATTTTTGGTAGACACAGGCGCCAACATCAGCGTCATACCAAAAAAGAAGGGGACAATAGCGCAACCTTTGCCTTTCAACCTCTACGCCGCAAACAACACCATTATTCCTACATATGGAGAAAAAACAATGGAACTCGATTTCAATTTGCGAAGACCGT